GTCCCACCCCTATGAAACATCCCAATTCATATACAACTAACAAAAAAAAGTTGGTTTCTATTGGAGGGACCTTCTCAAGAAATGATTAAAGATAAAGGTAGAGTGAACAATAGAAAATAAAAATTAAAAAAATTGAAGTTGTGAACTTTTAAAATTCATTTTCTATCTTTTCACTTTAGTGTTTTGTGGGTACAACATAAAGTTATGAAGAGTTGGCATATGTTGGCCTTTGTACATGATTCATTATCTCCTTCTAGCCAACTTTTCCTCACTATCTAATTATTCATTATCATCATCAAGGTCACATCCTTTTCATCAATCCATTACTTGGTGTTTTCATATTTTATTCTAATAGTTATAAAATAAGGTAACAATGTGGGTAGAGATGACAAAATCATTTTTTTAGTGATTTACATAATTTGTTTAGGTTTAAACTGTTGGATTATGATATGTTTGTTGACTTAATCCTCTAAGTTGAATTTGAAATGACCTAATAAATTATTAGGTCAAAATATATCAAAATAATGTAACTCAACTGATCAAAGTGATTACATTAGTACACTTATTCTTCAAAGAAGCAAAATAAAGGGGTTGAGGAGTTTGGTTGGGTCATATTAGGCGAGTTGAGTTATGACATATCATTTAATCGATTCAACCAATCTTGGACGGGCTGGATCATGATTTGTTTGTTGGTTTGACTGTAAAAATTAGGTGGCATGGCTAAAAGTTGAGTCGGCAATCTAAGTTTATCTTTTGTTTTAAATGTAATTAGAGGATTTTCACTTTTTAATACGAAAATACAAATTAAGTAAAGATATACCTAACTAAAATACGGTTTGAAACTTCGACAAATAAAATTTCACCACAATATATTGGAGTTTCGAAGCTTTAACAAGTGAAATTCCACCGCAATATGTTGGAGTTCATAAATTTATTGGAGTTTCAAACTCCCTTTACCATTTCAAACTCTAGAAACAACTCATTGAGTTCAATCTCCAGTAAAAAAATCTATTTTAATTAAAAATATATTTGGTGAATTCTATACTACTCACTAAATAGTTTTAAAACACTGTCTAAAACTTAATTAAAGATCCAAAAATTAATTACTTGTCAATTTATCTCATATTGACATATTTTAATTCGTTCAAATTTGATTCAATCAATCATTTGCCACCTCTAAATTTTGGGGAAATAACCATGTGGAGATGTGTTTACTACTATGCCCTACTTCTTTGATGTAGATATTACATAACTACATATTAATAACACTATATATATAGTTGCCTTCAACATAGGCAATTTTTCCACCAACTAAAAGATTGTAATAAGGGAAACTGCATGGGACATGCAAGCACGAAATAGTTATTGAAGAAAGAGAACAATTGGCTTATAAAAATATGTCGGTCCAGCAGATTGCTTTCGCCATTGATATTTTTTTCGTTGTTGATATTCTTTTTGATTTCTATGTATTTCACCATTGTATTAGAAATTCTCTCTACCTCTACCGTACTCCATCTTGGTAGAATTCACCATCGTATGCTTGATCGGCACTTGCTAGCAATTCCGACTTATTTATTTTAAATTTTTATTTAAAAAAATGACTCTCTTCAATCCATTTTAGTCATCACGTTTATTAAATTTAGTTGATCCAAAATAACTATTATTTTAGAAAATTAAGATATAATTAATTATTATTTCCACCAACTTTATCCTTACTCAATAATTATGGTAAAAGGAAAATTGTATTAAATAGAGATCAAAAAATAAATAGGATAATTTAGTCAAATTACTTTTTTACTTTTTAAAAAAAAAGTATAAAAAAAACATGACCAAAAAAATAGAGCAGGGGAGGGGAAGTAGTAATAAAAAAATTTCACAAGAACAACCTGAATATTAATCACATGAATCAGAGGAAAGTTCACGTTAATTGAATGACAGAAAGAAAAAAAACAGCAAATTAAATTTTCATAAATTTGGTCTTTGTTCATAAAGTTTAATATATACTCCTATTTAATACCTTATTAAAATTGTTCAAGACATTATTATAAATCAGTAAATTAAATTAATGACAGAATGGCACATTTCTATCATAGTATTTTGTCTCCTTGATGTGCATTAACTTGTGTAGCAAGAAGTCATATTAATAGGCTACTATCTAATAACACTTCAATTTAATTAACCATCTATTCGAAATTGAGGCAGATTTAAAATTTAAAATTTATAAATTTTGATCTTGACTTAATATATATATATAAAATAATTAAGATTATATAAATATATTTATGAATATTTAACAAATATATTGATATATTTATAGAATTTGTGTAGATTAAATATATTTCTGAGTTCATGTGGACTATGAGCAATATATTCGATCCGCCTTTGTTGATGAACGACGTTAAAAATAACTATAGATATTTTTTATGAATAAATATTAATTGGTTATCGTTAAAATGATAATTAAGCAGTTATAGTTTGATCTCGAAAATTACTGAAGAAAACAATATAATATAAAATTCTTGCTCTTTGGGGTGCCTTCAACATTGAAAAACATGTACTAAGTGCATATACGATTCGTTTAGATTATAAACTAGCACAAAAATAAGAAAATGATTTCTAAAATATTTTCTTAAATTTTTTGTGGGAAAGCACATGAAAATGAATTATATAATTTAAGCAAAAAAAAAAATTAGAATGTTCAATAATTTAAGCAATTATGTTTCATTCATGAGCTGGATCTTAAAATAGTCAACTTTTTCATATGTGAGGAGAAAATCAAAAATATTAAAAATGACATTAAAGAATCAAAGCAATTGCTTTCATTCTCAATTCTTGAACTCTAACTCTGTCACATTCAATCTATTTATTATATTGTAATAATCTCTATATAATAAAAATAGAGTATAAAAGATTTTCCACAAAAATTAAACAAATCCCTCTTCATATCTATAATATATTTTCAAGTCAACAAAAGAAGAAAAAAAAAACATGAAATGAACTCTTCATCCAATACAAGTACTCCCTCCATTTCAAATAAATTAAATTGTTAGAGGCATTTTTTATTTTTCAAATTAATTTAATTGTTCAATTTTTAAGACTACTTTTAGAATGTTCTTCCAATTTTACCTTTCATTAGTTAGTATTGGAATTAGTTATTAATTAATGTTTAGTTATTTTAATCACAAATTTGACAATAATTAATAAGGGTAAAATTGAAAGTTATGCCTAATTTATGTCTTAATCTTCTTTTCTTAAATGGTGTGAAACACCTCAACAATTCAATTAATTTGAAATGAAGAGACTATTATTAAAGTATAAATAATAAAATTTAACTCAATAATATAATTCAAACTTATAATAATTAAGTTTAAATTCTGAATTGATTTTTATCACAAATTAACTTAGAAAAAACTTTTAGTCTTAAGCATTGAAGGTTATTATAAGTGGTTTGTAGAGAAACTTTCATTTGCGTCTTATGATATTTAACTAGACATATCTAATCTTTAATTAATTACAATATGCACTTCAAATTCTATTTACTAGTGAATAGTAAAAAAATTTACATAAATATTAATTATTTTTCTATTTATTGCTCATATGTTATTATTATTACTTCATATATGATAGTAATATAATTCTAAAAATAATTTAGATATATCAAACTTCCTACATCAAAAGACTAAAGCCACACACTTCAATTAACTAAAAATAAATATGTTTAGTTGAATATCACTAGAAATTGAAATTTTCCTATAGTTGAGAAACTAACCATTTAGACATAAAATGTTATTTATTATTTTCAAAAAAAAATTTAAAAATTATTAGTTGATTATACACTAGAATAAATTTTTGGTTAAATTTTTGAAAATGTCTTTTCCACACACAAAATTTCAACTCTTCTTCAAATAAAATATATTTTCAAACATAACTCTAATTTTTTTTTAAAAAAAATACTTATTTCAATTAAGTTTCAACCAACTCTATACCCAAACACAAAAGTAAACATACATATACACAAGTTCAAGCAAAAGTTACTAAATTCTCGAAAATTCGTATTGTCCAAACTTATAAAAGCAAATTACAAGTATATTTTTTCACAGTAACACTAAGCTCCAAAACCTTCAAAATATAATAAATAGTCAATTACAATACATATAAACTTATCACCTAAAAAAAATAAAAATTACACTAACAATATATTTAATTATCAAAAATAACTTCGAGAAATGATAATTCAGAACCAATATTGCTCGAACTTTTCATAATTGTCGACAGATACATATTAGAATCTCGTAACATTTCGAATAATCCAAGCAACACAAACAAGAATTGTGAAGTGGTGATTCAGAACCTATATTACTCGAACTCTTCAAATTTATCAACAGGTACATATCAGAATCCCACAACATTTTATCAGCAAGTACATATCAGAATCTCGTAACATTTTCGAAAAATCCAAGCAACATAGACGAGAGCTAAGAAATGATGATTCAGAACCGATATTACTCGGACTCTTCAAAATTATCAACAGGTACATATCAGAATCCCACAACATTTTCGAATAATCCAAGCAACACAAACGAGAACTGATAAATGATTATTCAGAACCTATATTCCTCGAAATCTTCAATTTTATCAATCAGAATCTCACTACATTTTCGAATAATCCAAACAAAAATTGAGAAATAATGATTCAAAATCGATATTACTCGGACTCTTCAAAATTATTAACAAGTACATATCAGAATCCGACTACATTTTCGAATAACCCGAACAACATAGAATGGAAATGAGAAATGATGATTAGAACCTATATTTACTCGAACTCTTCAAAATTATCGACAGATACATATTATCCCACTGGATTACCAACATTTTTGAATAATCCGAACAACATAAAAAGGGAACTGAGAAATGATGATTCAGAACCTCTATATTACTGGGTTATCAACATTTTTGAATAATCCGAGCAACGGCGGAGAAGAAGACGAAGAAGAAGACTAATGAGCTATTCCCATTTGTTGAATCTCAGGTGGATAATTGATACTTCTCTGATTCGGCATAGCTAACATAGCAGTATGATCGAAGAAATCTTTGAGTGCAACAACCGATTGTAAAATCAATTTCAGATCTTCAGCACAAGTAAACCCTAAATCCCCAATTCTTCTTACAGCATAAACATAAAAAGTTATACATCCTTTCCTAAACTTAAATCTCGCCATTTCAGTACCTGTTAAACCTCGAATCATCTTCTTATTCACTTCACCTAACGGAATCTCCACCGGCCAAACCCGGTCGATTTCCGATTTCATGTTCTCCGATTCGAAAACAAACAAAACCACCTTCGATTTCTTCGTTCCGAGACCCAATGTTAGTGTATGCCAAGCATGATGAGCTAAGATTGTGAAATTTGTGGGTAAATAAGCTGTAGTTGAAGTGAAACTGTAGTTTTTGGTTGTTGTTGACGGCGGAGAAAGGGAGAGGATACGGAGGAGTTCTAATGGCCGTGCACGGCGGATTGTGAAGGATTTAACGATGAATTGACCGCCGAATCGAAGACCTTTAACATCGGAAATGGGTTTAAAAGTGAAATCTGAAGTGGGTTTTGGAGATTCATCATTTGGGTGTTTGTGTTTTTGCTTCTTGATTTTCTCTTTCTCTTTAAGCTTTTGCTTTTCTCCCATGGAAGATGAAGATGATAGAGGAAAATGAGAAGAACACAATATTTAGCTTTTGATAATTTTATTAAAACTATAGTATATAAAAATATATTTATATATAATATGTAATGATGATAACAAGTAAAGTGAATACCACTTTGCATAAATTCCAGGTTTATTTTTGTACTAATTTATTTCATTACATTAATGGTTGGTTGTCTTTTTCTTTTCTATAATGTGTTCGGGAGATTCGATTAATCTGAATTCATTTTAAGAATTATAACTTCTGGACATATAAGTTTTGCGAAAAATAAAATAATAATGATATATTTAATATAATTTTATTGATAAAATGTGTATCGATAGACTATTTTCGATAGATGTACGGTTTAGACAAAGGGCATCATACTTTGCATGAATTCCATGTTATCTTTGAGCTAAATTAATCATTTTATGAGTGATTTTATGTGCCTGTTTGGATTGAGTTATTTGAGGTGCTTTTAAGTTAAACTAATTTTAAAGAAATTTTATAGTGTTTAGATAAAATTAAAAAATGTTTATAAACAATTTGTTTTTAAGTTAAATCAATAAAAATAAGTCAAAAGTCATAAGTTCGAATTTTTAACTTATACTTTTTGACTTTTTAATTATAAAGACAAAAATCAATTCAAACCAGCTCTATATTAGTATTTCGTATGCGGCTTTTAAAATTTGATTAATTTAAATTTTTGCTGAAAATATTTACGTATAACACACATTTTTTCGATTTAAATCCGAAATTTAATTTAAAAATGAAATACGTAATACTTACATATTATAATCTTTAGGGTGCTTTTGTACTTAAGACTTTTTTTTTCTTGAAAAGATTTGTTTTCTCTTTATTTTGTCTTAAGATAAAGTTGTGAAAGCTTCACAATTATGATTTATGCTACTTCTTTTGTCCTTTTTTTTCTTTAGAAATTATAATTCTTTTATTTTATATGCTCAATATTATTATTAGTATTTATAATAATAATAATAATAATATCTGAGCTAGTTTGCGAACATTTTTATTTTATTTATGTGATATCTAATTTTTATGTATATTGACTAAATTAATATTTTACACCAAATGACTAAAATATAAGTACATAAACAGAGATTAATTTTTCTTAAGATTGAAATATTGATTTTCTTATAACTTTTACCAACATCATTGACTATTAGGCCAAATCTATACCATTATTAATTTACGCAGAGTCCAAGAGAAGTCACATCTATTTTTTGTTTATTATATTTTATTTATATTGCCTTTATTTTTCTACTGAGAATATTCTTAAAGTCCAATGTACTGTTTAAGTAAATAAAATAAATAATAACTTGGAAATGTGCACACATGTTGAACCTGTCATATGATTTTAAAATATTTTATAAAAAATCAAAAATTAATTTGAACATTTTCTTTTCTCTTTTTCTTTCTATAAACATGTAAGTATTGGGTAACATCAATATTATGCATATGACAAAAAAAAATTATGAGGAAAGCAAATGACCTGAGTCGAAGTCATAATTGAACATAATACCTATATAAAATCGAGTCTTTGATATCAAGAATGATCCTAACACACTATAAGGTATTCTTAAAGATAATTGAAATCAATTATTTGATAATCCTAAAAATAAGGCAAATGATCTTGGTTTTTTTTTTCAAAACAAATTAAATTAGGTTAATCATTTTCAAGTTATGGTGAAGTAATTTAAACTTCAAGTGAAAACATAAAAAAGTAAAGCTTATGATTATTATGGAGTAAATTTGGGACAAAGAATTTAATTACTTCCAATCTTTCTCCTATTCTTAATTTATCAATTTCAGAATTTATCTAAATAAGAAAACCAATATATATATATTAGTAGACATAATTCACGATTATCAACACAATAAAATGATTAAAAATATTCTTATTACTTTACTCTTTCAACCCTGTTTGCTCACATGATTACCAAAATACATCTTTATTGAAGGAAACACAATAATAAGAATTATGATGCTAGATTTATGGTAAAGTATGGTTCGTTTCGGCTCAACAAATCTCACAAATTTGCTTCTTGAGAAACATGTCATTATCAGACTCAAAAACGGGTATACTGTATATTATATAACTGACATTATATTGTATATCGATCGTCATTTTCTTCTTCAATTTTAATGTAGGATTCACATGACGCTTACATTAGTCCTTTTTATTGGACGGAGGTACACGTATTAAAAAAATAACTTAAAATCATTTTGTAACGTCCGTATTCGAATTATAACACATCGTTGTCAATAGAAACTTTTCTTACTATCTTACTAAGGGTGTGTTTGGTATGAAGGAAAACATTTTCCGGAAAATGTTTTCCAATTTTCTCATGTTTGGTTGGGCTAAATGTTTTGGAAAATGTTTTCCAAATCAACTCATTTTCCTCAAATTTAAGGAAAATGACTTCCCTTCTAAACTTAAGGAAAACATTTTCCAAAACTCTCTTCCAACTTCAAATTACAATTATTTTTTTGTTGAAAAAATTAATTTATTTTGTCCCTACCCTCAAACCACCCCCAACCAACCCTCCCCCAAAAAAATAAAAATAAAATAAAATTTTAAAGCTTGTTTTTAAATTCAATTTTTTTACCCCACCCTCACCCCTACCCCCACCCCCTCCCAAAAAAATATTAAAAATTGTTTTTAAAAGATATTTCTAATTTCAATTTTTTATTATTTTACCCCCTACCCACTACCCTCGCCCCCCCCATCAACCCCCCTATCAGCCCCCAACCCCCTTCAAAAAGAAAAAAAACTAAGTTTGTTTTTGAAAAATATTTTCAACTTTCAATTTTTATTTTTTCATCCCGATCCTCGATCACCCACCCCTCTCTCCGGTCCCCCCCCCCCCCCCCCCAAAAAAAAATTGAGTTTATTTTTAAAAAATATTTACAAATTCAAAATTTCATTTTTTCACCCTACCCTCGACCCCCACCCACTTCCTACACAGCCCCCCACCCACCCACCCCTAACACCCCCCCTCCCCAAAAAAAATAAAAATTCAAGTTTGTTTTTAAAAAAATATTTTCAATTTCAAAATTTCATTTTTTCATCCCTACCCTCGACCCCCACCCACCCACCCCCCTACCACCCCCCCCCCCCCAAAAAAAAATGAAAAATTTTAAGTTTGTTTTTCAAAAATATTTTCAACTTCAAAATTTCAAATTTTCACCCCTACCCTCGACCCCCTTCACCCACCCCCTACCACCCCCCACCCCCCAAAAAAATTTAAGTTTGTTTTTAAAAACTATTTTCAATTTCAAAAATTATTTTCTACTCTAGTAAAAATAAAAGATATTGCTCAAAAATATTTTTCATTCATAAATCAAACACTAAAAAATTTTTCCGGAAAATATTTTCTACTCACCAACCAAACATGAGAAAATAAGTCAAAAATCAACTTGTTTTCCAGGAAAACATTTTCTAGGAAAACATTTTCCTTCATACCAAACACACCCTAAATGTATGAAAAGAAATAATTTTACTTCAAAGTGATAAAAGAAAAGAAAGAAAAGGGAAAATAATTACTTAATTTGTGTGGTTCTTCTTGTTGAGGGATAAGGTTTTTGACATTTACTTATTTTGTGACAACAAAAAAGTCTTATAAATTAAGTTTGTTTGTGCTCAAAGGCACCATATACTTCAATCATGTAAAGGGGATGGCAATAAAGAAAAAACAAAATAAAATCAATGAATTCTTTGTCTATGTAAAAAATAATTATGAGCAAACATTTATATTTTTATTATTATGAAACATATGGTTCTTCTCGTCCAGGTGTAGGTAGTTTGCATCTTTATAGATATATATTTGTTTTTTCAAAATTTCTGACTCCGTCACTACTTAGATAACACCAATATATACTAAAGGGTGGGTGACTACTATTGCTCTCGTGATTTGTATAGTTATTATATTTCCCTCAATCATCATTCATTCATGAATTTTTGGCAAATTCTTGTCTTTATTATACATACTTAGATTTTATTTTTTAAAGTCTTCAAATGTACATCTCGTGATGTTTTAGCCAAATAATATCAAATTTTGTTCTTATTTGAGACAAATAATATGTTGTACTAAATATATTTTTGTCTTGGAAAAATGTATGTGATAATTTTTTTGTGGGCCAAAAATTGTTTCCCAGTGTAGCTTAACGACAAATTTTCATTTTCCCTATGTATTAGTAATATTTTTCTAATCTCGAATCTCCTAGAATTTAGCTATCATTTATTTATTCATTTTTTTAAAAAAAAAGTCATAGAGTTGAGAAAAATCACTTTTTTTTTTTTTTGGGTAAGGTCAGCACTAAAATTATTATTAATCGCTTCGCCAACAAAATTGTTTATATATCCTTAGAGCGAATTTACGATGTTTAATAGTTTGGTTAAAATGTAACATTCATGACATAGGATGAATCGATAAAAGTTTTACTTTTTGCCTGTTGATCAAAAAGAAGAATCGACAAGTTTGAACATAGCTAGAAGTACGGATAAAAAAATTAATCGATATTCAGTAGTTTTAGCTTAAATTGTGTACTTATGTTAAAAAATAAATAAAATGTGAACATATATTAAATTTAAACCCACTTATTAACATGAAGTCGTCATTTCAAAATTTAAAAATCATCCCCTAGGTCAGCTTCTAGGCTAGCAAGCTTCAGAAGAAAAGACACACACGATATTATAAACAAATCTCATGATAAAAATGGGGTACAACAAATTAATTTGACTCTAATTAATATAACAAGAAAACAATTAAAATGTCTTATCAAGTCTCTATTATTTCTTTAATTATGCTTCTAATTAATTAAATACTTTATCTAATTATCAAATCAATATTCACGTCAATCAAAGTTTCATCTATTTGCATGATTATACGTTCCATTTGCGCATTTTAGACGGAAAGCAAAACTAATTATTGGTTAATCCTTTAGCTAATTAATTATACGTCTTTCCTTTCCCGCATTCTTTTTTACTAGTCCAATATTGATTTTGTACGTTAAAAAATTATTTAAGCGTTTAT